TCTGAGTATCTAAACTCCCCACTTTTGTGTCAGCACACAACATACCATGTGCTTCCATCTGTGGCATTGTATATGACCCTGACATGGATTTGTGTCTTTATTACATTATGTTAGAAATGCTTCATAATTCTGCATCAGGTCAGCAGTGAGGACCTAGACTCAGTTTCACCTCAGCCCAGACATGGAAGGTCCATTTCATTCTTTGGTGATTAGGTTGATCATTTTGGCCAACAGACATCTCTTACTGTGTCTGAAACAAGCTAGGTTCCAACCCCTCACAGCTGTCTGTGAATCTGGTGGACAAGGAAGCAAGTGGAGCTTATTGCTATTAGCAGAGTCATGGAAAAGGGGGCTGGTGAAGGTACAATGTGATGATGCTGTGACTGCAATAAAAAATAGGTTCCTTAGTGTTGTGGTGATTCTTGTCAAGTTGGTAACAGCTATTCAAAGAACATAAGAGCAGATAACATTCCTTGAAGTGATTGAAGGTGATTTGGTGGGAAACTGGGTGGAGGTGCATACTGGCTGAGTATTTTTTTCATTTGTTTATTAAAAAATCATCTATATGGTAAATACCTTGTGGTTTGGAATGGCATTTGCAGAAACTCCAGTGTATAACTTTAATTTCTGCCTGTCGATCTCAAAATGACTGTTTCTTTACCTCAGAACAGAGTTCAGAGATGTTCAAAGTGTTAGGACCTCTATCCAGTTGTTATCTCCTTCCTGTTTTCCAGCAGTGTATGCTGGTAGAGCATTCTGGAGATGTCATAAGCTTCAGTACCACTTAGAAATAGGGCCTTTGGGAGTAGAGTTTTGCCCCCTTTGCACAACAATGTTTAAAACTCCCTTCTGTGCATCCTCAAAGCTTGATGAATCAAGATGCTGGCAACAGCTTTGCAAGCCTAGAATGTCAGGAACCCATTAGGAAGTTGGTAACTTCTCTAACTTGGCTCTCTTACTCTTCCCTGCCTGGCATGAACATTTGTTTTAAGATGTCTTACAAGCCCTGGGATGCTTCCAAAAACATGTGTTCCAGAGTGGGAGGTCATGAAATTCCTGCATGTTTCTTTCTATTTCAAATATGCCAGTGCGACTGTGAGTCTAGGCTGATACTATTGGCAAGGAGGTAATTGTTACAATATATGTACTTAGTGTCACACAGATTTAAAGGAATTTTTGTAACCTTGTGCGAAGGTTTACTGTATCCACTGTGTCACCCCCTTGAAACTTGGGAGGGGTAAATCCCGGGGTGAGGGGAGGGACAGAAGGGAGGGAGGATGTCACAGTTTTGCTGTATCCTGTGAAATCTGTCAAGCTTTAACTGGGGCTGAAATAATGAAAAAACATCCTCCAGGTTTTAGTTCATGTGTCTCAAAAAGTGTCAGCGTGCCAAGGTAATATTCAAACAGCAATGCTGCTGAGGGTTGAATGTGAGTAGCCCACTGGGAAGCATGAGATGGAAGGAGAGCTGGGTCAGGCTACTCCCAAACCCAGTACTGAACCATGATGGCACAGCCATGCTCTGGAGTGGTAATAAACAGTTCACACAGGCAGCTATCCCTCTCCGTCCGCACCTTCTGGCTGCAGACTTAGTCAGGAGTGGGCTGCTCTGGACATGCGTTCTGGTAGCCGTTGGCACCCAGCTTTTTTTACCCCTCATGTGTCAGTAATTTATTCTGTGGAAAGCAGTAAATGGGATGCTCTGCCCGGTTCTGTATTGCTGTGGATATACCAGTGCTGCAAACTTGAGGTGTAAGCTTTGCTGCTGGTGATACAAAGGGTTGTGCAGAATCAGACTCGTACCTTTTCTTCTATTAGCTCTAGTTTGGAGTGCACATACAGAGGCAATTGAAGAAATGCATCATGGAGCATGTGAAAGCTGAGGCTATTTACCGTAGGAACAGGTCACTGTAGTGGAAACCTGCACTGTCTTTCCCAAGCATTCTGGGTGTCTGTGTTGCTGTACTGGGCACTGATTTGTAAAGGTGCTGTGTTCTGTCAGAGATGCTAGATCCAACAGGGAGCAGAGGTGTTTGACTTTCTCAGTTTTTCAGATACCACCAGTCCATCATACCCACCCAAGCCTTGCCTGGGTCAGCTTCAGCAATTTTTAATTCCATCAGCACTGTCTAGTAGACCTTCCCAAAGCTGCAGGCTCTGAAATGCTTTGTTTCCCTGAGGCTGCCCTGCAGAGGACAGCTCAGGATCAGTTCAATCATGTTGAGGATGGAACATGTTTATGTTCTGGCTACCTGATCCAGACCTTTTTTATCTGTTTCCCCAGCACATAAAACAGTGTTCTTCTATCACAGTCCAGGTGACATTTTAAAATACTTGTGACACTCTTGGATGCTGTGATGGCAAATGAAGGTTGGGGGAGGGGGAAGAGGAGGTGACTAATTCTTTTCCCTGTTAAGAGAACAAGTCAAGGACAAGTGCCTGAATACACCTATCAGCTGCTTCTCTCCTTTTATGTTCCAGGTGGCCTGTGGAGGTGAGGAGGGAACCAGTTTGCAGTTGCATAGCTGTGCATGGCCTGAAACCCTTGTGTAAGGAGGCCAGGTTAGGGTTCTGCAAGTGCCTGATGTTTTGATATTTCCAAGCCTTTGAGAGTGCTACCGCAATGTAAATGAGTGCCTGTTTCTTGTTGGGTGCTGATTTTTTGGACATAACTCAGAAACCTCATCAGTGAAGGTGGCACTTTATGATAGAAGGGGAACCGAACAATGAGCTGCCACCATGTGCAGAAGGGCTTCTGGCACAGTGGCCAGGCTCACACATGGGTGCAGCTCAGGAGAAGGGGGAACAGAGGGAATGAGCTGTTTGCTGCAGTCAGTTAGCAGAAAGATGCTCTTCATGACTCCCAAGCAATTCCAGATACCTACTGTGGTATAAAAAGGTGTAGGGAAGTTGTCCTCTCTGCTCTTGAGTTTTGGCAACTGCAGTGGCTTTTATCCACAGCTCTCTGCCATTGTCTAGAGAGGTACACGTTAAGCCGTTAAAAATATCTCTGGTGCTCAAATGGGTCCTTGCACTTCTGCAAGAAACCTCTTTGCTGGGCTGGAGATGAATCAGGGCATTTGTGCCTGAAGGTGAAATGTGCCATTAATCTGTTGCTTTGGCTGATCCCAACTACTCCTAAGTGTTGGAGAGGCTTAAAGTGTAAGCAAGTTTTAGCCTCATGGTGAAGGGTTAAAAATTGGTTACAAAATTATTGCAGAAAGAAAAGATAAAGAAACACAGAAGAGGTTAACAGTTAATACTTATGAGGCATAGGACAGTGGTTTCTCTGAAGCTTATTTAAGAATAAATCTCCCCAAGAACAAAGTCTTCTTGAAAATCTACTGCTTAGACCCCTGTTAACCTTTTCTCAAGAAGTAAATTGAATTGCAGTTATAAAACTGGCAGAACTCACACCAGAGGGTTCTTGGCTTTGCTCAGCACTTCATCTTGGGGTTTATTGGCGTTTACAAGGCACTACCTATGCTGCATTCATGTGTGATTAGGTTCCAGGGTCACTTGCACTGCAGCAATGTAGCAAATTTTTCCACAGTGAATGAATCTCAAGTTTTCTTTTACTTCTTAAGTCTTGCCCAGAATCCAGTTATTTGAACTTTGCCCATCTGTTTCTCATGGTTTTGTCCTGCAGTAAATGGGACATTTAGAGCAGAACATGGGAATTCATGCTCTGGGGTTTAAGGGCAGGCTTCAGTCAACATGCTATGATGGAACGTGATGAGTGGGTTGGCTGGTGTTCCATACCCCAGAAGATCTTGAGAGGGATCTATGATTTTTTTTTTTTTTTTTTTTTTAAATGAAGTTTGAGAAGCTTATGTGGATTAAAAGGGAAAAATCTGGATTCTCCATCTTTCAGCCAGGCAGATGCATATCATCAGTGGGAGGAGGTATTGGCACTATTCTGCAGGGTCACTGTGACCTGCCAGGAGAGAGGAAGTTCTGAGCAATACAAATACTCTATTTTCATTGCAGTTTCCTCTTTTTGATTTGTTGTTTTTATTTGAATGGCTATTGAAAATTCTACATGAAAATTTCTGGTATGTGCTATGTCTACACCCACTAGTCAGGATAGTGGAGGTGCAAGGAGGAATGTGAAGTGTCTTCAGCATTCCAGAGTTCACTTAGGTAAACAGAGGTTTTTTAGAAATGTTTTTGTAATATAACAAATTCCTTTTTAAAAGTAGACTGGTATATTTGTTTTCAAATAGAATCATAGAATCACTAAGGCTGGAAAAGACCTCTTGAAATCATTGAATCCAGCCTTTGACTGAACAACACCATGTAGCTAAGTCGTAGCACTAAGTGCCATGCCCAGTCATTTCTTCAACACTTCTAGGGATTGTGATGACTCCACTCTTTCCTGGGCAACCCATTCCAATGCCTGACCACCCTTTCAGTGATTAAATTCTTCCTACTGCAGAAAAGCTCTGTTCCCCATATTGTTTCTGGTATATCTCTGTAAAATAGCCAAAATCAGTGTGCGTTTACAGGCTTCCAGGGCGTCTTGTGGTGGGGTAGCTCTGTATCTTAACAGTGTACCCATAGTATAGAGGGATTTTTGCATTCTTCATTCATTTCAGTAGGAAGTCTCGTGCATTTTTCATGTCAGGCTAGTAGGAGAGCCTGGTTGTAAGGTTCGTCCAGTCTTCAGTGAAAGTGCTGTGGGGAAAAGGTAGCACCAATGATTTTCTGGTGAAAAATCTCATGGAATCTCTGTGTCACTGTTCAAAAGTATCACCAAAGTGGTGCCTGCCAACTATATTGTAGTACTGAGATAACAAGCAGTATTTAGCAATCACAGAAGACATGTCAGAGGTGAAACTGAGCAGTGTTCTCTGCCATTGTGCAACAGTTTTTCTCCTTGGTTTAAGTAGTTTAATATATTGGGTGTTCATTGGTAGAAGTCTGCCTATGTGTCATGTATATTGTGTAACAGGTGTCTTCCTCTGACATGTCCTCCATGATGCTTTCTTTTTTTCCAGATTGTCCCCAGCCACCACAACCTGAGAATGGAGGCTATAAATGCCACCCTAGCCCCTGCAACAACCCTCTGACTTCAGGCAGTGTCATAGAATATCTGTGCGTTGAAGGCTACATGCTGAAAGGAGATTATAAATATTTGACCTGCAAGAATGGAGAGTGGAACCCAGCCATGGAAGTCAGCTGCAGGCTCAGCCCAGGTGAGTGCTCCCTGATTCTAGAATTGCCCTTGCACTGACTTCAGATTATCCTTAAACACTTAGTCAGTGTGACACTGAGGAAGTCCATGTTGCTGTCTCATGTTGCTCCAACAATTTCATAAACACAGCTCACAGTCACAGCTCGTCATTAAAAATATCTCTTCAGTAGCAGCCCATCAGATGCAGACTTAGAGTCCCTAATACAAGGAAACAACTCAGGGAAAGGAGTACAAAGGAGGCAACTTGTAATTTATGTGGAGCCTCTTATTTTGATGGCTGTTGTCCCAGAAAGGGGGAAGGCCCTGATTGAAGCATTTTCCATGCTGTCTGGTTTTGCTTGATGGGTTTGATGATACATCTCCCTCAGTGGTGTACCCGTCTGTCCACATGTGCATGTGAGTATGTAGAGTCGATCTTCTGTGCAAACAGGTTAAGTAACTGTTGGCTTCTTGTGGCAAAGAGCTCGGTGGTGCTTCTTTTCACTGTACTGGCAGGAAAGGACATTGCTGGCAAATGATTTCTGCTTCCCTCCAAATGGAAGTGGACAGCTTTTGTTTTGTGTTTCTCTCGAAGCTGAACAGGAATGCCTCCATCAAAGCAGGAAAGCAAAAAGGTTTTCAGGAAAATGTTCATAATGTTCATCATACCGCTCTTAATTTTGCTATGACCCTTTTGGTTTTAAAAGTGGGTATACTGAGTAAAGGGGGAACTCCCTCCCCTCTTCAAATTTGGCTTGTTCATAGAGCCTTACTTCTCAACCATCCTGAGTCAGCAAGATGTACACTCTGGAATTACGTCTCATAATACATAAAGCAAAATGTGTTAGCTTAATTGGAAGGAAACAGAAAAGTACTTTCTTCAAGCTCTTTATGGAGTTCACTGCATATCTGATCTCTGGAATATCCTTTCCCAAAGACACTGTCTTCTCAGTGTCTCTGCCACAGCCACTGCAATAGCCCCTTGCTATGATGTGTAAGGAAGGGATCTGGGAGTTTACCTGGCAGCAACTAGATCCTAAAGAGGCTTTTCAAATTCAACATAAGCTTCCTTTCCACAGTGATTCCCCCTTCCCCTTGCTAAATCTAGGCTGGAGAACAAAGCTGTGCAATTGCAGATAGTATTCCCTGGGTGGCACTCCTGCATGGTGGCACTTGGTCTAGCTGAAGAATTGTGTTGTGATGAGTAGAAATCCCTCAGATTTCTTTAGCATCTTGAAGGTCCAGTGGCCTTACCAAAAATATGATACATCAAACATCTGACTCAGTGAAAAAGCCATTGCTTTCACAATACAAGTTCTGAATCAACTGGTCAGGGTCAGAGAGTCTTAACTAGTGGGTGTCATTCACAGGGCTAAAAGGAGAAGGAGGTGGGAGACACTAGAGAGAAAGACTGTAGGTCTTAAAGAGATTGATAATGGTAAGGGTAAGATTCTACCTGCTCCATACAGAATAAATGAAATCCTCTAGCAGTAATCACATGTTTTTGCGTAGCTCTGAGCCTGTCAGTCCCATAGCCTTTTGGCAGATTATTGTATAGGTTAGTGAGCATCTTTTCAGCACATGAGATGGTGAATGCTCTGGAGTGTACCCTGGGTAGTAAGCAATTTGACAGCATCTGTACTGATGCTGAAAATGGAGCATCTCTATTTGCCTACCCTCATTCCTGTTAGCATACTCAAAGTACCCTGTGTAATGCTGAAAATTAAAATCCTTACTCAAACCTATTTGCTATAGGGAAAAATGTGCCAGTCACTGGTTTTTTTTTTTCTCCACGGTCAAGCTACTTCTAAAAACTTTCAGAGAAATAAGTTCAAAACAATGAAGCCAGTAGGTTTCACCCCAAGGGATGATGCAAAAAATTTCACACTGGCTTTACAGCTTAAATGCCTGGTTTGGGCATAGATTTCAGGCTGTAGGCTTAAAGACAATGGTTCTCCAGCTTTTTTTTTTTTTCGTTCTGTTTACCTCTTGCTCTTTCCCTCATCCCTCCTTGCATGGGTCTTGAATTCCCTCTACAGTTTGAGACCTGTGCTCCTGAAGAATGTGTCAAATGTAGAAAAGAGGAGTTGCATAAATGGGAATGTCCTGAATGTGAAATGGACAATAGTATTTGCTGATGAGTAGGTGAGGCTTTTCAGATTTCTACCAAAGACATAAATTAGGGACAGAAGCAACACATGCAGACATTTATTTCCTCTAGGGAGGTGAAGGGACTAATGTAGCATTCTGGGCATGACATGCAGTGCTCAGCAATGCCTCCAGACCATTCTCTCTGTGCTTCCAGTTTATTCCTGTACAGGTATCTTAAAAGCCAGATTGGTTCCCAGTCACGCAGTACAGCTGCAGAAGGGTAGGAAGGAGTAATGTGAACAGGGCACATGTGTTTAACACTGAAATCTCAGCATCCTGAAGTAACATCTGCCTTCCCTCTCTGTTCTCTTGCATATGTTTGTGTGAGAGAGAAACTGAATACTTGCTGTGTCTTAATTATAGCCAGCCAGGTGACTTCTACCCTGCTTTGTGAGGCTGTTATATTAGTCAAGAAAAACTGTTATTTGGAGCTTTTTTTCTGTTGTTTGGCCTAAAATATCCTGCTTATTGTGTTAGACAATTATTTTGGCCTTGCTGGTGATATCAGGACCTTTTTTTTAGCTTTTGCTCAGCCCGATCTATATATAACATGACCCTTAGCACCATCTGTCAGTTTCCATGGCCTGCTTGTACTGCTTTTCTGTTTGCCCTGTTTTTCCAAGGGTAAAACATGTGCATGTTTTATTTTAGGTTCCCTTTACAGAGAGGTGTCAGCTGGAGATCTGAGATAGCTGGTGCGCCTTGACTGTATAGGAAACTTGGGCTCCTCACATGTACACCCAGGTGTAACTCCTGAGAGCAGGCAATGTGGATGTTTTTCCTTCTCTGTGGCAGTTATTTAAGGAAGTGGATCGTTTTACCTTGTGTTCCCCTTGGTTTTGTAGAAAAGGACTCTCCTCCGACAATTGGAGTACCCACGCTATCCATAGTAGCCTCCACAGCGAGCTCTGTTGCCCTGATTCTGCTCTTAGTTGTGCTGTTTGTTTTGCTACAGCCAAAGCTGAAGTCGTTCCATCATAGCAGGTAAGTGTAGCTGGGGTTTGGAGGGCCTCAGAGCACCTGCTTCTTTGCAGCAGAAACTCCCCTCTTGCTTCTTTGTTCCTATTTTAATTGCCTCAGTGACATCTCCGCCCCATCCTACTCGACTTACTTTACCATACTGCTAGTCCAGTAGTAGTCTGAAATGCTGATCTGTGATGCTCACCTGCAGTACCCATTCTTATATTCCACCCCAGGTGTTGGCTTCCTTGTGCTTTTCCCTTGACTCTGAGTGGAAAAAGTTATGATCCTTATTAGCCTGGCTATAGATCAGTCTGCTGCCTCTTCTAGCCTTGGATAGCTACTGAAGTATGTGTCTGGGTATACATATCTGCATCTCCCCCAGTCTGTTTGAGGTCCTATGGACCTGAATTCAGGCAGTACTGCTCATTAGATACACATGCAAGTCTGCCATCCTTCCCTGCTGTGGGAGGAGAACCCTCCAGGCCTGGGTTTGTGGATGAGAGGAGGGATACAGCCATAACACTGCTGACAGCTGAGGTCAGCAAAGCCACTGCAGACACTCCAGCAGTGGGGAGGTTGAGAGGTGGGGCCCTGGAGTCTGCCCTTTTCTGAAAAAGTCCATATCACTGGAAAAAAAAATGTACTCTCAGGCCTCTGCCTCATGAGGTTTGGTGATTCATGCTGTGCTAGAGCTGTCTTCCCCACCCTGCCAGACATTATCTTGCCAGCAACAGAGGCGGCAGAACAGACAGTGCTGGGTATTGTGGAATAAAGCTGAAATCAACCGTGGTCAGAGCACTTTGCCAACAGCACAAGGCTCTGACTCATGACCTTTGTCAAATTCAGCTATGAAGGTAGGTGAGGGTGGAAGCATTGTAACCTTTTTAGCTCTTGCTGCTAAATCCATTAGGTGCTGTGAATTACAGCCCCTGCTTGTTTTTAATATCAATTCACAGCAGCCCTGCAAGACTATACTTGCTTGACCTTGTTAAACAACCATTCATATTTGTCTGTTCTCCCCTCAATAAGTCAATGCTGAGAATTAGAGTTCTGCTGTGGCATGTAACTGGAGGTAACTTGTTAACAAGGTTACTTGTTAACATATATATAATAATATAAATGCTCAACTTGATTTATTTTTTTCTCCTCCCCCCTCTTTGTTCCTTTTTTTGAGGCGAGACCAAGGTGTGTCTGGAGATCAGGTATCTATCATGGTGGATGGTGTCCAAGTGGCCTTGCCATCCTATGAAGAAGCAGTGTATGGCAGCACAGGGAACTGCATTCCACACTCGGACTCCCGGGTGCAGATCGTGCTCTCGGAGGGAGCTGGACAGAATGGACCCGGAGAGATGCAGGAGCCGGACCAAGGGGCTCGCAATAGCTTTGAAAGAGAAGATGAAGCCCCTGGACGTTCTGGACTCTGTGAAGCCAGTAGCTCTCAGCGCTCTGAAACTGTTCTTGTGCATCAGGCTGCTACCTCTTCCTGGGTAGCTGGCATGGCTAGCAGTGGACCTGTACACAAAGAGGTCCAAGATTCAGAAAGCAGTGACATACAGAGCCTTTTATCACTCACTTCCTCTGAGGAATACACAGATGGTATGTGACTTGGGCAAGAGACACTAAATGAGTGTTTACTTTTAAGAGTAGGTTCTGCAGTTGAGTACCTAGGAATGACCCTATATGCATCTGCCACTGGAGCAGCTTTTGAAATGAAGTGTCCCAGTCTCCATGGCACATTTTACAACTTAGGCATATAAGCAGTATTTATTATCTTCCTTTGAAGAATTCAGTGTTCTCAGACTGGGAGACCAGGGTAGTCTCAGAAAGATTGTCTACTGCTCACTCTTGTTGTAGCAAAGGTTTTGCAGAGAAATCCAGCCTCCAGGATCATAGTGCAAAAGCAGTAAAGTAATTGTATGGAAACCAAGTTGGTGGGAGTGAGAGGACATGCTTCGAATACAAACCCTTTGTGATGTTTGGGCTTCATTTTTAGACTGTTTTAGTAAGCAGCTTCATGCCACAGTGCATACAGTGCTATAGCCTTAGCAAGAAAGAAGAGCTAAAAGGGATGTGCTTATACTTACTGTACAGGGCTGAGGGGCGAGTCTGTTAAATGGTCAGTACATCCTACTTTCCTCACTTCCATGCTGCCACGAAGGAGTGGCTCTGCACTGCCAGAGCTGATGTGAAGGTGTAGCTCCTGCAGACACTGCTGTGTCTTAGGCAAGAAATGTAACTGGCTTGTAGATAGCTCAGGGCAGAACTTCCCTTTTCCATGGTGTCAAGCCCTACAGCCATAGTAATGCCATCTGGAACTCTGGCAGTAAAACCAGTTAAAGGGTATTTCTGCTTAAGGGCAGAAATATTAACATGTCCCAAGATGGGCGTTAAACCTCAAGTGCATAAGCAGCAGAAATCCAACTGTGAAGCTTAACAAAAAATGTCTGCTAGTGTAGAAACTAAAGGATGTTTCCTGTGTCACTATGTCATTTTTATCTCGGAAACATGTATTGCTTCTAAGGCTTTTCGTGCAGTAGCAGATTGCCCCTTCCAGCAGACCACTGTAAAATTTCTGCTTATGGCTCAGAGGTGAGAAAGCTGCAGCTACTGGAGGAGTTTGCATTTCCTGAAGTTAGATAAGGGCAGGTGTGATCCTTCTATTTCCAACCATCCTTGTCAGAGTAAAAAACAGATCTTTGGCATTTTAAGGACTATAAGATTGATAAAGTCATGGGAAAGAGAGAAACTGTCGTTCTTAAGGGAAGTTACTACCTTCCCTTAAGCAACATGATGAGGCTTTACTGGGGATATTGTATCTTGTTGTGGGAACCCTCAGTTCAAGAGATATGTGAAGAAATTGGGCTGTCTGTGTTGGTAGCCTGCCAAGATACCAAGGGGCTTGTGGGGAGTGACTGAGGGAAATGGGCTTATTTCATCTAGTGAAGAAGCAGCTGAGGGCCAAACCAACAATTAGTTACAGTTACTTAATGAAGACTTGGAAAGACTGTGGAGCTAAGCTCTTATCAGGCAGATGATATAACATGGGGCAATGGCCACAAACTGTAACTTGACAGATTAACATTCGGTATTAAGAAAATATTTTGTGCAGTAGGGTAATGCAGGACCAGATGGATACCCAGTGTGGTGATGGAGTCTCTGTCCTTAAAGTTTCTCCAGGCTGGAGCTGGTGATGGTCCCACTTGCAGGGGCAGTTTGAAGCAGAGTCCTCCATAGTTCCCTACTTCTGCGTTGGGATGACAGGGAGACCACTGCATTATCATGTTATGGAAGTGGGAGCCTATCTTGCTTTCAACAGTAGTTTTTCTGGTATGTGTTAAAACTGCAGAAGTTTGACTTTTTTTTTCTTTTTTTTTTTTTCTCTCCCTACCATTCAGATATTCCGTTATTAAAGGAAGCATGAGGTCTGCTGTGTTTGTCTAGCCTTCTCCATCTTGGATTTCTTCCTCCTCCCCTGCCTTTGGGACAGAAGCACTCTGTGCGGTCTTCCCTGTCCTCGCGAGCTGTACCCTGGATACCTCCAAGAAGAGATGCCCTCAGCTGAAGATCCAAAGGATGTCGCCAGGTTGCCTCCTGGATGCACCAGTGGAGTTGGTGCAGTGCTGGCTTCCCCATTCCATCAGCATCAGGGGCTCAAGGAACAGAGTGCATTTGAGCTCTCTTCTCTTCTTCCCCAGCCAGATGTTTGACAGCAGTCTCTGAAGAGCTGCTCTTCTCTTGTGCCTTTCTCCTTCTCACACCGGCTTGTTGCAGCTTATCAGCCTTTCTAGCCCTTCTGCTGCCCAGAGAGCAGGGGCTAAACCCGCTTGCTCGCTGGGTGCAGACACAGTTTAAATATACATATATATGTTATATAGGCTCTTCTTCCAGCATCCTCTTTGTGACAGGGGAGGACAAAATGCCTCACTGGGATTGAAGTGAGGCTTGGGAGGGATCCCAGTTAAGGGGCAGGTTGTCATGTCTAGAAGCACCTCAAATGAGATGGGCTGTGTGACAACTTAGCCGTGCAATAACAGTTCACTGAGAATTGCTAGAGCGCTGAAGGCTTAGAAGTCCAACATGTAGGAATACCCTCTGTCCCCATCTCTGCAAAAGTCCATTTCTGAAAATTACTTTTGTCTCCTCCTTCCTTCTCTACAGGTGTAGCACACTGGGAGCAGTTCATGTCTTTGAAAATGTTAAGAGGAAAAAAAATGCCTGTAGGTAGCAAATACCTAGTGCCATTGGTATAATCCCAAATTCCCTTTGCAGCCACAGTAGGTACTTTGGTACTTGAGATGGTAGTTGCCATCTCAGAGGCTAGTGTGTCTTCCTAGCTTTGTACAGCAAGGGTCTGCTGTTTTATCCTAGAGGGCTCCAGTGGGCCCAGGGAAGGGCTCCTTTCTTGTGGCTGGGGGTAAGCAGCATTTGTGAAGTCTCTCCTAAATATAGTGCCAGCCAGCTGGTGTGAGGGAGGGTTGACTATGTTAACAGTAGAGCTAGAGAACACCATAGCTTATTCCTGAACCTAAATTTTAAGGATTGTTTTCAAGTTCTGGTAGTAGGGAAAAGAAAATTCAAAAATATGTATACCTCTGCCACCCCAACCCCACCTTCCCTCGGTTATATGCAGCAGGTCAGAATATCCTGGTTGCTGTTAACAAGACTCTGTTTCTGCATGAAGCCACATTTGTCTGGGGTATATGGTCCAATCACAAAAACATCACGGTGGTTGTGAGGTTCTTCACTGGGGAGGTCTGAACACTGTTTCATAGGATTGGTTTCAGCAAGAAGAGATGGCTTCTTAGATGCATGTACCTTGTCATAATTGTCTTGAAGTAACCAGGGAAGTGTTTGCCCTGTGACAAGCTGCTAAATTTTTGAGTTGAAGGAGCAAAATGTCATGGCCTTACACATCATGTGGTAATATACAGGTAAATAGGGATGTTGTCTTTGCTGCTTTGATTTTGGTTTACGATCCTTACCATCCTCATCATTGTTGCTACAGAAACAAACCATTACAGCACTTGACAAAAGTGACACAACATCTTTACCTATGAAGTTACTGTGGCTTAGCTTCAGTTCCTGGAAATAGGGATTGGCCATAGTATCCAGCTATGTATCTGCTGTTCCTCTTCCCAAATAGCTTCTATATCCCAGGATACATGGGACAATATGCGCTTTTGGATGAAAGAATCCTTTTTCCCTATCCTTGTTATAGAGGGATGTTAATTTAAAAATACAGTGTTTTAAACTTCCTTCCCTATGGCTCCTGTTACCTTGCATTAATACAAGGATTTGATAAATCCCGTTTGGGTGATTTAGGTATTTTTTATTCTGTTTGGATGGTGAAAATCCCATGTCATTTTACAGTGGGCTGAGCTTCAAGCACTGTAGGGGTCAAATGTTGTTTACACATCTGCTGTTGGAATTTTAGAAAATAAGCATGGGAATGATTGTATTTAGATTTTTTATTCCCATGTTAGAAATGGTCTAATCTTGAGCAAATTCTCATTCATTGGTTTATCAGGGCAGATGGAAGGATCGAGCTAGAGTAGTGGTAAGGGAGTGTGGAGGAAAGACTATGTGACTTCTTTCCTGCTGCCTAGCCAGCTCAGCGCAGGAGTTGCTGTTTATGCATTTAAGGTCCTGTCTCCTCAAACTCCTCATCAATTCAAGGTATAGAAGTTGGGAATGTGCTACCTTTCGGCAAGGGGCAGTGCTTTAACCCAGTGTTAGCACTAGGTTGGTGGGAGAAGGTGGAAGCTGATCCCAAGGCCTGGCCTTGATCTGGACAAGCACCTGCACCACCAGCAGAAAACACATAATGTGTGGTCCTGTGTCCTCTCTGCTGTTGTAAAGCAAAGCTCCCAGCTTGGGAGAGAAAATTCAGTTTGGGTGGGGAAGAAAAGGAAGCAAGCTGCACAAAGAGGGAGTGCTTCAATTTTGTTTCATTCATAAAAATTGTTGGAAATGGCTTTTCTAAGGAGCGGGGGAAATGCGGAGGTGGAGGGAAATATGCAAGTGTAGCTCTTGTGATCAGGCATAAACAGGCAGCGTTCTGTTGGCTTGCTGAGGGTAAACCAGCAGCTCCCAGGCCAATCTCTGCTGTGCTGCTTGGTAACACCATCTGATGATTCCAGCTTCTGCAGAAGAGCTCTGTCCCCTGCACTGACACTTGCAGGAACAGGTCCCATGGACCTGTGCAAGCCAGAACATGGAAAACAGTTTGGGGGCATCACATTGCTGTTGCCCACATCCTCAGCTTCATATGAAATGAGGTACAAAACTGCAGAGGAACCTAAGAGATGTCTGACATGTTTTTCAAGGCCATAGGAGAGCAAGGCCTCACTTTACTGATTATCAAGTGATCATTACTTATTCATGTTTGTTTAATTCTGCAGAAGCTGAAGGATTGGGAAGTCTTTTGGGCAGAGATACAGGATACAGGAAAACCTACATTGCACAGTCTTGTCTTTACTTATGGGAGCAAGCGCTGAAGCTTAAAGACCCCTCAGACGTGAACTCCACTCTCTCTCAGGAGTGTTCATTATCTCTGAGCAAAGAATGTGTTCTCTTTGGATTTTGCCAAAGGTAGATGCAGCCTGGATCTCAGTGTGGTGGATGGGGAGCACAGGGGCTCAGCCTTGCAAGATGTGACACAGTAAATTATTTTTCTTTTTTTCTTTTTTTTTTTCCCTGATGGGGCCACAGTCTCTGCGCCCTTTGTTCCCCACCCACATCTGACAAAACATTTCAAAGGGAGGCATTTTACTTACTTAACACTCCCAATATAATCATCTCATGCTCTGTCATACATGCTGGATCCTGTGATATTCAAGAACATTGAAACGATTTAATTTTATTGGGAAAAATAAAAATAGCACTTATTTTAAAGGTTTCTGTTGTTTTTGGAGTCTGATAGGTTGGGGGAAAAAGGGCATTTCAGAAATTCAGGATATTATGTGCAATAGAAAACCTTCTTGCTCCCTTTTAGTTGCATAGTTTTTGGAAAAATAAATGCAACCTACCACAGTGCTTACAGCCCAAGTGTTGCAGAACTGGACCAGCCTGAGAGGGCCAGAAAGTGAAGCTGGCAGTGATCTGTGGGGAAGTGGGACAGTCTCCTGTCAGGATCTGCATCGTGAAGCTTACCTGAAAGGATGAGACAGCTAGAATTGGCAGAGCCTCCTGTCACCTTGAAGAGTGCCAGCGGCACTGGTGAGAGAGAGGGGTGTTTGTGGTTTTGAATAGCTTGCATTCCCCACCAGTAACTGCAGAAGAGGTAAAAATGAAGTCAGGAGGAGAGATGTGCTGCAGCATGTGAGCCTGTGGAGTTGTTGCCAAGTTAAAACTTCAGGAGTTAGAGAGGGAAAGAGCTTAATGCATTTTTATCTTTAACCACCGGGGAAGGAGCTGTGTAGCAGAATGCTTACTCAGCAAGCAGGCTGCTTTTCACCCCTTGGACATCTCCCTGGCAGTTTCTTCTTGGCCTTTCAGCTCCGGTGTGGTGAATAGTTTAATGCATCTGCAGCCTTTATTTGGTCTTTCAGTGTGGGGAGAACTCAGGTGTGTTAGGAAGAACTGTTCCACATATTTTGGGAGGAAACATCCTAAGGTGCTCCCAGAGGTTGGTGACTTGGGTCGATACTGAGGAGTGGGGTTAAGAGAGCAACAGGCTCAGCCACTGGAAATTATCTGGCATGGTTAAGTCATTTGCAGCACAGAAAAGGGAATGCAAGGAGGGGTCTAAGGAAGAGCTGTACTGAAAACAGAGGTATGCTGCAGGCTAATGAGCTAATGCAATCACAACCAGGTTCTAAGGAAGCTTGTGCTTATGTTAGATGATTTAGCATACACCAGCACGCTTGCTGTATAAGAAAAATTAATGTTCAACTGTTTGGACACACTGAGATGTCCTTGCTGACCTTTTTAGTATGTATTTGCAAAATGTTTTACTGTTCTGATAGCAGTTTAAAAAAAAAAACCTGCCTTATTACTCTCTCCAGGTAACTATTTAAATAAATTTCACTTTGTTTTTTTGTATATAAAGGCAATAAATCCCATTCATTTTGCACATCCTGCCTCACCCCATCCTCACCCTTCAGCCCTTACCAGGGAGCGGCAGATTGAATTTGCTCTTTGTGGAAACCTTTGTTTGCAGAAGGACTTCACTAGAAAACGTTTATTCTCTATGATATGCTATGAAAGTGCAAAGAGGTTTCCTAGAGCAGGCTTCATTTTAAGATGTATTTTTATACAGAAAATAAGCCTTTTTCCAGTCCTACCACACCAGGACAGAGCAAGCTACTTCCCACACTTCAGGGACCTGTGATCAGCACTGCTTCCAAATTCGACCCTCTGCAGATGTTCAGATCTATGTACCCACCAGAACATGTTCTACTGATGCTCTGCATATGCTTTCCACAAGCTTTGCTTTTGCTTCTGTCCTCGAGTGAGCAAGGACAGAGGCAACTGAGTTGTGCTGGAAAATGTTCAGATTCTCAGATTTGCTTTCTTCCAAAAAGAAAACAAAGTGAAGTTGTCTGTGCAGCAGATGTCCTATGATGCGGTGGGTAGGTTGCTGGTAGTTGCTGATGCAAGTGCAAGGGGAGCTTGATTGCCTTTGTGCATTAATCCTTTCTTCTCTCCTGTATGTTTTCTTTTTATCTGAATTGCACCACTATGGAATTATTTGCAGAATGGTACTCCATATATATGTGGAACTTTAAACCATAATTGATGCTGTGCAGGATGTCACTCAATCGATTTTATTTTGCTTTATTTTATATGTATTTTCTGGTATCCTGTACATTGCAGTGGGTGTGAAGATAGTATTTTAATATTTGTACAAAGTTTAATTTAATTGTTCTATGTATATAACTGCATTTCTAAATTAAAAAAAATTCTTTTGAAGTGAAGCTATAATTTCTTGTGGTTTTCTTTTTTTTTTAGCTGTTTAAACCTTGTGGAATGGAAATCTTTCAAACCATTAATCAATATATTACAGTAGTGCAATGCCTTCCATGGGAAGATCAGGATGAAGGTAAAGCTAGGGATGCTCAAATGGCTTGGGGAAGGGAGGTACAGAGTAGGTGCAGTCTGAGAAGGATCATCTGTTTCCACATTCAGAAGCAAAGGCTGTTCTGGGTGTGCCTGCATGGAACTGTATGAGGAATGAAGCCAGGTCCAAGGTTCAGAGGCTGTTCTGGGATGGCTGTGGTGACTCGAGTGCCACCTGGACCTGTTGTCTTGTCATTGGTGGGGCCCTTGGGAACAGGAAGATAAGGGAGACTGGCCAAGTTGTTAACGATGGGAAAAGGTTTAAAGAGATCGTGTATGGTATTGATGGATTTCTGAAGAAGAAGGGGTAAATATAAATGGCTAATAATATTGGAGTCTTTATAAGGAGAACAGTATGTATAGGAAGAGAATGCTATTTTTTGAGGGAAGATAGCTCTCACTGGTGAAATAATAATCCCAAGTGGGTAGCAGGACAGTATAGGAGACATTAGAGAGATCTTACAAATACATGGGTGTAGACAGTGCACGTCTGAATGCAGAGCTGAGGCTGGGTGCAGGCTGTGCTCTTTTCTGCTTAGTTGTGCTGCACTGGGAGGATGGCAGAAGCAGAAACTGCAGAGGAACAGACACCCATTGTTCTCTTAGTGCGATATACAGTCCACTGCTATTGGTTACTGTCATTAATGTTTGCTTTGCTTCAAAGACCTAAGGTAATATTGCTCTTTTAGGCAAGTGTAGTAATGAGTGTTCCTTTCTTTTAATGAAATCTATTGGTAGTGTTAATAGGGGAGGGAAGGTGAGAGGATGTCCTTTTGGCCAACTTGCTCAAAGTGAAGTCCTTAAAGGTGTTGTGAGATTTTTGTATACTCACATACATGATTTTTATCCTCTCTGGAGGAACAGCCAGGTTAAAGAGAATGGAAGGAGTGACACCTACCCCTTTTCATTTGTTCCTAAAATTATACCTACACAACAAGCTGATTTTACTGTAATTTTACCGCTGCAAAGCTGGAGCCCTGTGGCCTGTGCATGCACATGGGAATCACTGGCCTTCAGGAATTGTTTTTAAATTATTAGTTTTTCACTGAGCTGTGGTGTCCTGCCACAGCAATTCTGGCAGCCAGGAATGTGCTCTTCTTGACATGTTGTAAGTGATTTGTCACCTCTGGCAATGAGAAATGACTGTGGAAGGCAAGCCCTGAGGGAAGGCAGCGTGAGGTGGGTGGTCTGGGCAGTCTTCCCTAACAGTTGGCCCTTTGCCTGAAGGGCAAAAAGGCCAGGGCACGCAGGAACATCTCCACTTCGAGAAAAGACACCGCTCTATGCTGCTTTGAGAAACTTTTCAGAAGAGGGCATAGATGGGCTTCTACCTTCACCAGGCGTCCTGCCAGCCGGGCGACTGCACTGCTTGGGTCCCAAACAAGATGTTCTGAACGGGTGGATATCCCAGGAACACAAAGCCGTGAAGGCACCAGCCCCAGTACAATCACGTGGTTTAACCCTTTAACAGGACGGAGTTCATCGATCCTTGCCGCGTGATGCAGCGCCACCATCGGAAAGCTTTGTGGAACGATTGCCTTATCAAATCATGCCTTGATGTATAGTGGATTTGCCCCTGCCGAGACCCTCCCCTGCACTAAGAGCTCCCCCAGTCGCTGACCTGTTTTTAAGAGTGCCGTGAAATGCAGATTCGCCCTCCCAAAAGCAGAAAGATGCCAGCAGGCTGCATGCCAACAAGCTCTGTGCTTCAAAAACCAAATGTCTGTGCACTTCTCCTCACCCGCCAAGGCCACGCAGAGGCCCTTTATAGTGCTGCCACGGGAGAGGAGAGCGGGATCTGGCCAGCACACACTGCCAGCCCCCATCCCTCATCGGCCGTGGTACAGGGCAAAACTGCAATGGTCTCTCAGCACCAAGAGCGGTGCAGGGGAAGCACACACAATGGAATTCCCAGTTCTCTCTCTTCTCTTTTACAGGAGGATGATGTTTACCAGCAAACTCTTAACCTTCAGTGAGACACAGACTGAGCTGAGCACCCACAGTGTACCTCAGTGTAAGGTGGTTGTTCTTTGACAGCTCTTTGTCATCTGGCCCACACCATCCCCATGGTGGATCTGTGGGACACAGCTCAGGCTTTTCATGTCACATCCATGAGAAACGACAGACTTTGGGGCAAGAAGGAACAGACTGATGCCAACATGATGGCATTCAAGGCACAAACACCCTTGTCTCCTTTTCTGCTTCTCCAGACATGCTGCTCAGGTCTCCTGGCTGTTCTTTTCAGGGTTTGTGTTTGAGACCATGCTGTGTTTAGCAGCTCTGCCTGGCATGCAGGATTTATCTTCCAGGCCCCTGAGGCTGGGGGACCCACTTCATGGAGCAGACAGGGTCTCCCTGTCCCCATGCGTGTCAAACCACAGCCCCTAGCAGCTCAGGGGTGACCAGGCACCACTGGGTGCAGGACTGATGCTCTCAGGGAAGGAGGAAGGAGCCATTGGGGCCTGGAGCATCCTCTGGATACAGGAGAGCACCAAGGAGACTTTGGCAGCAGGTACATGTCCTATTCACTGGGTTCAGTGGCAGTTGGGGGTGGGAGAGGGATGTGTGGGAGGGCTGGCAGTGATGGTGCATGACCTTCCTTAGAGGTCAATGGCAGCTGGGGGATGCTGTTAGCTGGACCGGGCAAGGCTGCTGGCTGCAGCTGGCACACAGCTGGATATGCTTCTACATCGGCTGTGCCCATCAGGCAGATCCTCCCTTAAGAGGGGCTAACGTGCTACCCATATTTAGAAAGTACATAATGCTCATCTTTAAACCCAAGTATAAAGTCTCCTCATGTTGAAAAGGCCAGGGGTCAGATTTGAGAGTAGCAGAGTTTTCTAGGGAACCAAAAGGGGAAGCCTCGTATTCAAGGAGTGATGATGCTGGGTTTGCATCTCATGTTCTTGTACCTGGGTGTTGCAGGGGAGTGTAGGGCTACCTTGAGAGAACTCCAATCTTGCACAACTTTCCTCCATGGCAGAAATATCCCTGTAACAGCTGTTTCCAGGAGATTTATTGCAGAATCACAGAACATGCTGAGGTGGAAGGGACCCACAAGGATCATAGAGTCCAGTTCCTGGTCCTACACACAACCATCTCCAAGAGTCACACCATGTGCCTGAGGGTATCATCTAAACACCTCTTGGACTCTGTCAGGCTTGGTGCTGTGACCACTTCCCTGGGGAGCCTGTTCCAGTGTCCAACCACCCTCTAGGTGAAGAACCTCTTTCTACTATCCAACTTAACCCTCCCCTGACACAACTTCAGGCCATTCCCTCAGGTCCTGTCACTGGTCACCACAGAGAAGAGATCACTGCCTGCCCCTCCTCTTCCCTTTACAATGAAATTGTAGACTGCAATGAGGCCTCCCCTCAGTCTCCTCCAGGCTGAACAAACCAAGTGACCTCAGCTCTTCTTCATACAGCTTCCTCTCCAGGCCCTTCACCATCTTCATTGTCCTCCTTTGGACACTCTCTAAGAGCTTAATATCTTTCTTACATTGTGGTTCCCAAAACTGCACACAATATTCAAGGTGCAGTGTAGAGCAGAGCAGGACAATCCCCTCCCTCGGCCGGCTGGCGATGCTTTGCCTGATGCCCCCCAGGACACAGTTGGCCCTCCTGGCTGCCAGGGCACTGCCAACTCAGATTCAACTTGCTGTTGACCAGGACCCCCAGGTCCCTTTCTGTGGCACTGCTTTCCAACATCTCATTCCCCAGTCTGTACGTACATCCGGGGTCACCCCATTCCAGGTGCAGAATCCAGCACTTTCCCCCACTGAACTTCACAGGGTTGGTGTTTGCCCAATCCTCTAATTTGTTGAGGTCTCTCTGTGGGGCCTCCCTGCCTTCGAGGGAGTCAACAGCTTCTCCCAGTTTTGTGTCATCTGCAAACTTGCTCGGCATTCCTTCCAGTTCTGTGTCCAAATAACTGCTTCCTCCAGGAAGCTTTAAAATAGTTGCTTTGTTACTGAAGCTCTTCAGTATTTCTCTTACACTCTTCTAGTGCTTTTTTTCAACAGCCTTACGAGTAACCGGGAATTTTATCCTTGTGGCATCTTGGTGGGTAGCCCCACGCTGTCCCTGTTGATGGAGCGGAAAAAACCAGAAAACTCAAGTAACCTTCTCTAGGTCACACCAGAGGCTGTGTTGCAGGTGGGGAAACAAATGCTCTTAATGACACCTTCCACTTGTCTTCTTCCAAGACCTCTGCTTTAGCTGTGAGCTCCTCTTTGTTCTGCACATGGAGATCCAGCTGTCAACCCGAGGGAGAGCCACTTTATTCCAGAGCAGGCTGTGCCTGAAGGGAATGACTGCAATGGTGATTCAGAGATATTGATTCTCCTCATTATGGAAGCCTAATGCTAAGGGTAACACGTGCTACATAATCACTCTCATCTTATTCTGCCCTTCGGTAAGTGGTTTGAGATAAACCAGTCAGAGCCGTGCCCTGGGGTATCAAATAGAGGCCCTGCTGTTCCCAGTGTAAGAAAGGTCAGTGGGGACTCTGGGAGAGTACAGGGAGACTCACTTTCTTCTTTGCTGTCTTCTGGCAGCAAAATTAGGAATTTCAGAACAAGGTGATAAAAACACAATTTAATGGAGTGTGGGAGGGCTCTGGATGCAGGGGCACATGGTGCTGGGATAACTCTGAGGTGCTGGAATAAGGTTTTCTTGCTTACTAGTGCCAATAGGGAATGAAACGTGTTGCTGTTTTGGTTGGTTTATCATTTGTTGGGCTGGTCCTGGTCCCTGTGAGTTGAGAAGCAAGGATTAATGCCTTGTAGTTTCCCCCTGCAATTGGCAAGGACAATTATGAGAGATCCAAAGAGATTAAACATTTCTTTCTTTGCTTTTTCCCCT